TTTCATTATTGGAACAATCTGGTAGGCCAAAGTCTACTAAAGAAGTTTTGTCAGATAGAGACTCGTGGTTGTTGCACAGCCTAACATATTGTGCGAAATTCCTAACTGATTCTCGATTTGATAACTCTTGAAGTCATTTTTCTAAAGGTGAAGTTAATTAGTTAACATTTTTCAGTTCGTTAATCAATTAATCAGTTAATCAGTATTATAATATGTAAATTACTTATTCTCTAAATACTATATAATTATCTACACATTTGACCTCTTTATATACACGAATAGGTCTTTGCCATTATAATTAATTAATTAATTACTTAAACCAGCAGTGTGTAAGTTGACTAACACATTTACGAACTCCTTATTAATACATCTTAGCTTATTCTAGAATAATAAGAGGAATAATTAATTTGTCAATTTAAATAAGTATTTATTTGATTTTGCAACCAATGTATTCATTAAAATTTTTCAATCAATATTTCAACAATAACTTCTTATACATTATTCATATTCTGCTCTTCTATCGATATTTCTTTCCTTGGAGATTCAAATATTTGCATCGGATAATTCAGAGGACCATTCCAATAATAAAAACAAGGAGCTTTGGGAAATTAGAGGCAAATGTGAATTCGCAAATTTCTTATTAATTAAAAGTTCATTGAAAATACCATAGTAACCCTTTTTTCAGAGGAATGCTTCATAAAGATACCTCCTTAAACTAATGCAAATAAGACTCTAGGTGACTTTATCTTCAACTAATTTCTCAACTGAGTGCAACCTCAACCTTCTTAAATTCAGCGAATTCCCGACATCTCTCTATAGCTCTTTCGAATTCTTCAAATCCTTTTATCAAATTATAATATGTGGGACTTCGCTCTATACGTTACTCTGTACGGGATTGTCGTGATATATAGTCATTTTATTACATAAGAGGAATAATAGAACCCTGATATGTTCACTCTAGCATACAATCCAGTATGTCAATTGTTTTATAGAATATTTCTTCTTTCAAACACCATGATATTGATATATTTTTATAAAGGAATTCAATATCAAATCTTTTCTTTGTGATCTTGATACGGATATTGACATTGGTATTGATAGATTTGATATTAGCGAGTTCGACTAAACTATTTTCGGCAAGAGTGCGTATCAAAATATAAGAGAAATGGTATTTAAATTTTTCGGAATTGACTATAACGTAAATACGGTTCTCAAAAGCAGAAACGGTCGATCATCCAGATGAGAGGAAAATATTATTCATCATCTTTTGTGTTATTCACTTTACCGAATATGAATTTCATGGACCTGATGGTAAATTACTAAATCCGATAAGCTTCACAATATAGGACCTAGTCATGCAACTGGCATCATTCCAATTGAGATTTTCTCGGATATTGAATCCCTAAACCTCATCAGGACAAATTCTTATTAAAATATTTAGAGCAGGAAAAACAAGAAGATCGCTTACTTAAACATAAAAGAATTTATGAGGAAGTGTAAGAGAATTTGGAATAATTCTTAAAGTAGGCAGGACTTGGAGATGTAAAGAAAGAAATACTCTTTACTTCCATGAAATGATTTATTTTAATCTAATAATTATTTAATTTTCGAATAAAGGATATAAAACATGATTATAACAACTCCATTTCAAAATTACTATTCAACTTCCTTGGGTGTATAAAAATTTACAAATGTGGAACGCTCTGCGATAAAAGACAAAAAGAAAGTAACATTAAGGATTATTTTAGAAGTATTATTCTTTCATAACTATTGTACATTTGTGTACTTAATATACGTTCAGAAGATTAAACCTAGACAATTTCCAGAATAATCAGTAATATATAATCATCTTTTTTGTTTATTATGTGTCTTCAGAAGATAACAGTCCTACTAAGTACGTTGCAACAGGCTATGATTTAGTAATGCAACAACATGGTTTAGGAGATTATTCTTTAAATACAGTTGAAGTTAAAAAAAATTTGCACATGTAGATGAATTAAAAATAAAAAGCATTAGTAGTTGTATTAATTCTATCCGTTGACGCCGGATTAATTTTATCATCGTACGCTATATGACCTAATATTCCAGGGCATTTCAACCAATCAGCTTCCGTTCTCGGGAATTATTACTCAGCATAAAAAATAGAAAAAAAAATACATGTTTTATATAAAGGAATAGCAAGTAAAAGGAACAACTTTGCATATTTATTGGCTGCTTAAATTTTCCGAATTTCTAGAGAACAAAATTTTTCCGGATGACTCCTAACCTTCTTCGGAGTACAAATCATGAGATGGCTAACAAGTATAAATAAAGTGGCCATTACGCACCTTATATGACTCCATCGTCGTTAAAAAATTAGATAGATGAAGAATCATGTCCACTGCAGAACAAAATTGGGAGTACCTGACAGTAGAAGCAGGTATAAATGATAATATAAGCACATCTAATAGTACTACACATGATAATGATGGGAGTGAATTTCAAGGAGCACAAGAGAAGTTAGAAAATTATGGTGATCTTGAAAAGCATGAGACACCAGATAATGAAGGGCAAATTCCAACAGCAAACGAGATTTTAGATAAGTTACCGGTCATGCCAGAAAGGTCAACTAAGGATCAACTTTCATCTATAGTTCTTTGCTTTTTCATTGCTTTTGGTGGATTTATTTTTGGATTCGATACAGGTACCATTTCTGGATTCACCAACATGCCTGACTATATAGATAGATTCGGTTTACAAGATGCTCAAGGTAACTCCAAGACTTATAAGATTGGTTTGATTGTTGCCATTTTTAATGTTGGTTGTGCATTTGGGTGTATTTTCTTATCTAAGATCGCAGATGTTTACGGACGTCGGATTGGATTGATGTTTGCAATGATTGTATATATCGTGGGCATAATTATTCAGATATCAGCACTGTCTTCTTGGATTCAGATTGTTTTTGGTCGTTTGATTGCAGGATTTGCAGTGGGTACTGTTTCTGTGTTGTCGCCGTTGTTTATTAGTGAGACTTCACCAAAAGCATATAGAGGTACGTTAGTTTGTTGTTTTCAACTTTGTGTCACTTTTGGTATTTTCATTGGGTACTGTATTAATTATGGTACATATCATAACTTTAGTGACTCCCGCCAATGGAGAATTACTCTAGGTTTGTCTTTTGCTTGGGCTCTATTTTTATTCATCGGGATGATCTTCCTGCCTGAATCGCCACGTTACTTAATTGAGAAAGGTAAGATTGAAGAAGCAAAGAAATCTATCGCTTCCTCGAATGGTGTTTCACCGGAAGAGCCAGGCGTGTATACTGAAATTCAATTAATTCAAAGTGGTATTGACAGAGAAAAACTTGCGGGTAATGCATCATGGGGTCAGTTGATTGTCGGTAAGCCAAGGATACTTATGCGTGTTATAACTGGTGTTATGTTGCAATCGTTGCAACAGTTAACTGGTAATAACTATTTTTTCTATTATGGTACATATATCTTTGATGCCGTGGGATTGAGTGATTCATTCCAGACATCTATTGTGTTGGGTGTTGTGAACTTTGCATCTACTTTTGTTGGTATCTACGCAATTGAGAAACTTGGAAGAAGATTATGTTTATTAAGCGGAGGTGTTGCGATGGCTATTTGTTTTTTGATCTACTCAGTCTTGGGAACTGTAGGTGATGTGCATATAAAACCCCAAGGTAATGCTCAAATTTTTATTACAACTCTCTTCATTTTCTTCTTCGCTTCAACTTGGGCGGGTGGTGTCTATTCAATTGTTTCCGAAATATATCCTTTGAGAATTAGGTCTAAAGCTATGGCCGTCGCAACAGCCGGTAACTGGACTTGGGGATTCTTGATTTCCTTCTTTACTACTGCTATTACAAATGAGATCCAATTTGCATATGGCTTTGTTTTCTTCGGTTGTATTTGCTTCGGAACTGTGTTCACTTATTTCTTTGTTTATGAAACTAAAGGATTGTCGTTGGAAGAGGTTGATCAATTATATGCATCCGGAATACCTGCATGGAAATCAAGTTCATGGACGGTTCCTTCACAAGAAGACATGGCTTTCTCTGCGGGATACGCCGCAAAAGATAAACCTGAAGATAATAGACAGGAGTAACGAGTTTCTATGTTGATCTTTGAAATATACAACTCTATATATACTTCTAATTTTAGTCTTTCAAAAAAATAATTTTTTATCTATTTCAATGTAAAAACATGGCTAATACCTAGAAAATTAAGTGTTACAGGCGATTACCTAGTTTTCAAGTATAACCAAAAGTCTTAGCTCATCATAGACCATAACCATATCTCATCCTATATTTTAAAGCATATTGACGACAACAAAATTCAGTATTACCATGTACCATTACGCCATAGTTATGAGTAAAGTATTAAACATCATCTTATGAGATTCTGAACCTCAATACCCTTCGTATAGTTTTGCACATATATCCCGTTCAGAATCACGAAGTATTATAGAATATAATGATATAGGCCTATAATTATGTGAATTGATCAGCATATAATTCAAGGAGTATTTATGTACTCAAGACGATTAAGATAGCAATACCAAAATCTTTATTATAAACAAGACAGACATAAAACTTTAATATATTAAACTTTTTAGTACGAAATATATCGGTTCTACCTCATGCTATATTAGGTGGCTAAAAGACACTATTGTCGCAATCTGCTTTATAGGGGAGTTATTCGAACTTTACGTTTGCGCGGCATTTGATAAAGGATGCCAAAGAGGAACTAACTAGTCAAGCGCAATTTTCGCAATTCTTCAAATAGACCAACAATGATAACCTTAGCTTTAATAAGAAATCATGTATGCACTGGTTGGATCCTATCTTGTAGGGCATACAGAACTGAATGTAGTACTATTGCAGATTTCCAACATGAAATCAAGGGAGGAACATAATTAAAGCGTGTCCATACCTTCTGTCTAAATTTTCAACTTAAAGATCTTCAAGATTTATTGACATTTGCTTATCTTATTTTATGAAATTTTCAACATTAGGATATATAATAATTGGAAGCTCAGAACTAGCTCATGGCTCATCATCATTACCGATTGGCAATGATGATAAGCCTAGTAATAATGACTGTGAATGGATGAGCAACTGTACCCAGCTAGCTGAAATGCAAAATAAGGCATGTGGAGCATATTACGATGATCCCAAGGCCCAAAATTAATGGCCTGCATTTGTACTCTTCCAGATGATTATTGGAATAATATATACCAATATATTAAACACTCTCCTCAAATCGATGCAATGGACATCTCGGCAAATGAATTGAGTGACACACTTCAAGGTGAGTATTGTACTTCTCAGTCATCTAGCTCAACTGAATTTGCTACTTCATCTAGTATGTCAGCAGCACCAAATGAGAGGCAGAGCCTGCATACCGAAAGACAGACTTAGAACTTAAGAAAAAGAAAAATTGATATCATATTCTAGGATTGTGGTGTGGAACACAGGTTTACATAACTAGAGAATATACCCTAAGTATTTATTCATTATACGCTTAACTGATAAGCCTGAGCCTTTGGCTTGGTTATTGATGCTCAATGATATAACTGATCAGTTAGGATGAAAATTTTATGAGCAGGCATGTTGGTTCGTGGATCTGATGAAACGTATGTCTACTATATTCTTTAGCGGTATTTTAAGTTGGTAAAAGAATGAATGTTCGATTGCATAAACATGATAAAAACTTAAATTATTTTATCTGTCTCATTCAGGCCACATAATTATTAGTACCATTTTTGCTTGCATCCAAGCTTCTCTTTGTTACATCAAATTGTACATCTCGTGCTTGGTCCATCATATATGAATGAAATAAATCGGATCTCCAATGTAATTACTACCAGTAGCAATCAACATGCTTGATTAGATTATTTCATACTAGTATATTACTGAGAAGAGATATTTTCCTTATGTTCTACTTGGCTTTTAACTCATGTTCACTAGGTTCAATAATTGCATTATCAGCCTCTATCATCAAATCAGAAATATTGTTCCCAAATATCTGAGCAATTTCTTTCAAGCCCAATACTTTGGTTTCAGGGAAAAAGAAGTAGATAACAACCATGTGTAAAGATAACCAAACTCAAAATACAATATAGTATCTCCATGAGATGAAATCCAACCCAAGGTTGTTCACGCAATTGTTAAACAAAACCCATGCCTGCGAACTTAATGAGTACACAAGCGCAGCTTTGCCTCTTAAGGTATAAGGAACAATAAATACCTAATGATTTATTCTCATGATTTGTTTGTTCATTTAATGCCGACAATATAGTCCAAATGATAAAAGTTATCAACATTAACTCAAGGCTTCCTAGCATCAAAACTCTCCATTTTACATTACCAGAATACGATGCGGCAACTACTCCAAAGACACCACCATGATACTGATTTTCAACTTTTCAACCGGATCAGTATAGCCAATCCCTTCAAGAACAATTGAAAAATAGTATGATAGGAGGAAGATCCACACAATTGTATAATAGTTGGTAACTATTTCCATACTCTCTGATTACTACCAGTATCACTAGCATAACCATTTATGGTTCTTACAATAGTTTGTTTCAGAGTCCTTATAGGTTCTGATAGTGACATAGAACTACATGGAATTTCATTATGACTATTATGTAAGTAATAAATAAGCAGGTGTAACCGCAACAATCAATGAATACAATAAGCACCGCTGGTTAATATCTAACACATAATGCCATGTATGTATTTTTCTGGAGTAGATAGTAATGCTATCACATCGACGATCCTAACAACCAGTGCGTTTTAATAAATCCAGAACTATACGGTAGAGTCCGCAATAATAAGGAACAAAATGCAAGAATTTTTTTGGATACTCACTTATTAAGGATTAGAAGTGGAAGAAGTGAGCAAAAATCCTCCTCAGAGAGTCTAGTGCCCAAGAGTAAGGCATCCGTAGACGTAGGGAATAGGCCTCTTATATTCTTGCGTATACCAGCCGTGAATTGGTTACTGCGGAATTCAGGGAGGTGAGTAGTGATGAATTCAAGGATAGGTACCTTGCCCTGCTTGATAATGCCATTAAAGTATCAAGTATAACTCGTCGACCATTACTGGATGAGTATGCTTATCCATTGGGTGATGCAATGCATGTGGAACAAGCTATCCAAGAATACTTTAATGAAGAAATAGCAAAACAATCAAGCAACTTTATCGTGATATTGGTGATATAGACAATTGTTTTGGCAATCCATCAATTATAAGACCGCCATTGGATCTGCGAAGAATAGTACAACCTGATATCATTCATATGATAAATAAATCGGATTTGGGTATACAATATCCCGAAAACAATTTCGGGATAGGTGATTACAAAACGGGAATGTATAGAACGACGGAAGGATTTGAAGAATTGAAGGCGGCTATAGAGAGTCAAACCGAGAATTTATTGAACAGAAGAATATTGAGGCTGCAATCCAGTGGGAGCTTTTTTCCGAATAGGAAGTAGACACCTAGGGTATTATTTGCTTTGGTTTTAAGGAAGTATATATATCAAGCTTTCCTCTGTGGAACCGACAGGATTTTTATTTTAGATCACCAAACATTCTCAGGGTCCTTTAAGTATGAAATTATGGATGACAAGATGTCTATAGACTACTATGTCATCAATGATTCAAAGACGGTAGAGCAAGGCATTACTTTGAGGTCGGCAATAGTCGGATTTTTCTATAAGAATGAGGCTGATGCGATTGATACGAAGGGCAGGTTGATGAAAACTTTCGAGGTGGCGAGAAAAACTGAAGAACTGGATCCATTTCTGAACGTTTTGCCTAAAATTCCTTATGGATCTTCCGGAAAATTGTCGGACAGTGGAGTTTCAAGCAAGTTAGGCTCTCTAAAAGAAAACGACGACAGTGATAAATTTGATGCCATTGATGGTAACACATATTGTCGAGTTATATACGATGCTGCAGAATTTTATCCTGATTTGAAACTCCCATCCCCTGTTTTTGTCAAATTGTACTATTATTCTAGCCAGTTATGGGAAGAGAATGATTTTGTGTGTTTCCATATACCAGAGAAAAAGGATTATTATGGGATGTTCTTCAATGAACTTATAATCAACGAAAAAATTGCCAGCTCTCAATTTGCTTCTAATTTCTCAAAGTTCCTTGTTTCAGGTTACTGGAGCGGACTTCCCGATCATCAGATGCATATATTTGAATATTTAGGAAGAGAAATCCAGGAAGAAAAGTGGGATAAGAAAAAAGTGCACACAATTATCAAGTCAAGGCTCGAGGAGCTTCATCTGTTAGGGATTTCACACAATGATGTTAGGCTCGAAAACATTCACGTATGTCAGTCAGGTAAGATTTCTTTGATTGATTTTGGATTATCGGACTGCACAAATAATGAAGATCACAAAAAGAATGACTTTCAGACTCTTGATTTCATATTGGGAGTATATGGTTCTAATGAAAATGATCCTCAAGTCAATCAGCATAGTCAAGAAAGTGAAGTAATTCCTGACGAGGCGGGCAATGATGACAATGATGGAAGTGATAGTAATCCTTCCTCTGAAGCGGTTTTTAATGAGATGAGCGCACAATCGCTCGATACAAGTATAACAACGGAAGGTAATACCTCGAAGGCGCCACAAAGGTAGTAGTGCACATCCATAAGCGAAACTGCTATTTTATGAGCATTGTTCTGCTGAATGTTCTCGTAGAATTTATTCGAGAAAGAGGTTTTAAATGCCAACCTTTGTTCCAAGCCAATATTCATCTGTCAACGAGGATATTGAATACGCTCCCCTATATGTATATTTCAGGTAATTTATGATTTAGAATACAAATCGAGGAATAATATATTAGAGAAAAGTATTCACATAATTAGAAACTGGCACCACGATGTGCTGAGAATTATCAGTTCATTATATAACCTTAATACCTCGGCAATGCAATTTCTGAATATATGTACCATCAAAATTTCTAATTCTTTTCAATTTTGGAAGTTTAGGTAGTATTTACTGTTTTGAATAAGTCTCAATATCCTATTGAAGGGATCTGAGGAATGTGGATCATCCTAAATTTGGAATCATTTTCGTGCCCTATTTATTTGCGATAAAAAAAAACCTTCAAAATAATTGTAATATTTCTACTAAATAACTTCCGACTAAAAGCTATATCGGTAATAATTGAAAATAATGTTCCAATAAAAAACTTCGTAGATATCAACTAAATATTAACAATTAAAGTCTTGATTAAATTCCAGGGTATGAAATATCAGTAAATTTGGAGTACAAGTAAAGAGAGTTTCCTCACCACCATCAATTTCAAAGAAAATTTAATTCTGTTGATATCCAATAACTAGAACAGAGTGAAATGTGTACTTTTTGTACTATTTCTAATGAATATTGTGCTCCTCTACGTCATTGGAAATACCCTTTCCCGAATGTGAAAACATCAGTTCCCCCGATGTCAGATCAAAATAATATTATTGATCCAGTTGTAGTACATGAAAGATTCCCTATTGATCTTGCTAACCCTTCCTCAATATTCAGCACAGTTCAGTCGGCTTTAAAACAAAAAAATTCAAACGCTCTTTCATTCCTGCTTATATTCTACCGAATACATGACTTTACCACGCAAGAGGTGACAGTAACCTTCCAGATCTGTTTGAGGGGGTCGCCCTCAATTATGAATTTAGTGATTTCTTTGGTGGCTTTCTCCATGGAAAGATAAGAGCTTCTTTTTCACGTTCAGAACAGACAAACCTTTCAACAGAGTCATATTACTGACGGGCGTCAGCAGCTAAAACACAAATGATCTTTAACGAAAAAAAATCTCCGAACCAATCGATGAAAGAATTGCTGCTGAATTTATTTGCAAATGGGGAGAATCCTTCGGCTTACAAGGATTTATCAGGTTGGAGATTGGATACGAAATGGTTTTATGTGATTTTCATAAAAATGTCGAAGTGATATTCAATATTTCATTAACGGCGGCAAGACTTGATTAAATTCCCTCCAGAAGAGCTGAAATATGTCTCTGTACCACATGTGTCACATCAACCACCTAAAGTTCCACTTCCACCAAATTATTATTCCCGTTCCTATAATAGATCATTATTATTGAACTATTTACAAGCAGTTCTTGGATTTGAATGGGTTCGAGCAGGTAGTTATCAAGACTCTGGGCGAGATATAATTTTGATCGACTTTGCAAATATGGTGACTCCTTTAAACAAAACATATATCGATTCTGATAGTTACAAAAGGAACATTAGTTACATATCAGAGAATTTGAAAGAAAGTATTATTGAGGACTTGGAAACAATCTATGAAAACCCTAATGATCCATTTTATAAAACTAATTGGCAAGCATTTACCAATTTAATTACTCTAAAATTTGTCCAATGCTTGTAAATTTGATTTTCATCGACTTGAAGTGGTTAGTGTCAATATTCAGTTACTCACCTATAACTTCACTAGACGACATATAAGTGAAGACATGAATCATACGGGACAAAATATGCAAGCTGCATACAATAATTGTGTCGTAGATTATGTTTTTCATACTTACCCGTTGCAAGGATCTGATACTTCATTTATTCTTCCATATTCAAAGTGCATTCTGTGATTATTCGCATAATTTTTGACCAGTTTTTGAGGTTTCAAGAGAATTCACCTGCCAGATATATGTTAATAATATTCATAAAACACTTGCGTGAGGAACTTTTCAAGTAAGGATCTCCAACTTGATAAAGCTTTTAAATTGAACAGATTTTTATGAATGTTCACGTAGATGTGGACCTGATAAATTTTGTTATAGTCCAACATGGGGCCAATCTCCTTTTGGATGGGGGCCACAAAAGAGCCCCGAATGATTTGATTAAGATGGAGAAACCTATAGAATAAAACACGAATTAAAATATATGAATTATAAAGATACAATGACCGATATTCCGCCACTCAACTGAAAGATGTGGTCATGGTCCTGATTTATCTTCGAAGCATATACCTGATAGTCCATTAGACCCGAGCAAGTTGAGTTTTTGGTTAAGTCGGGAAGGTAAGCAAAAACTTTAAATATTCTATAATTTAAATAGAAACGTTACTAAGAAATTTTCTATTTTAAAAGTAAAGAATATGTTATTAGATTGGTCGTTCTGTGCTATTGTGTTCAATTATTCTAGCTATATTATCATTACTACGCAATGGGATACTTTGCATTGTATATTCATTCTCTTAGTTGTTACAACGTTGCACAAATTAATACTATTCCAACATTCTCCCAAGGTATCGCCTTGATTTTAACTATTTTACTTGGATTATCCGCTACTGGAAAGGATGATAGTTAACATTGCAAATTTCTTTATCCTTCAATTTGGTACTTTGCATCTTTTAATATATACCCCTGAAAGTATGTGTGTGGATAGGTTATCTTATCAGTGGAAATTACCCGAAACTACGTCATTTATATGTATTCAAGGTCTCTGCAGTGCAAAACTTTTAAATTCCTCACAGACGTAGAATAACCGATCACTTTTTCACACATTTCTGCAATACTATTGAAATGGTGTTTATTGTTACGCAAAGATGACTATATGTTTCGAAATTTTGCATCCATGACTGGGAATGTAGTAATATTCTATAGATAAGCGTTATTATGTTGTATCGAAATGCTTTATTGCAGCATCAGCAAATGTTTCGAACATTTTATAATCTTCAATACTTTGTGGTGCATATAGGAGCACTACCTCCTCAAAAGACCTGTTCCTATATGGTGGAATGGGAAAAAGCTCTCCCCATTTCTTTTCTACTATTATTTTTGCATCTTGGCAATGTAAAGTGATATGAAAAGAGCCATCTTTTACATGTCTATGAATAACTTCATTTTTAGGCAGGGAGGATTTATGAAATATGGCTGGTATGTTTTTTTCTACCATCGAAGCTCCTATGAAATAATTTCTATTTTTGTCAACAAGCCCTCCAAAAAACCTTGCTACATTACTAGTAGGGGTATTATCCTTTTTCAAATCAAACGCTGTATGAGAAATTTGACGATGCGGAATTGACCAATGAGCCATTTCAGGAGAAGGAACCCCACGCATAGGAATTTCATTGGGATTTAAATACCCATTAGAATTATCACAATAGATGCTTGTCGGATCCCTACGGTTTCTTTGAAATGTTAAAGTTATTAACCAAGAAGCAATATACCCAAGCCTGTTACTGGGAAGCCCCCCGGGGGTCTCTATGTCAATCCATTGTTTATAGTCATCTAAATAGGGAATTGCAATAATTCCAGCCACTAATGCAGCCGTAATTAGTATGAACGAATTCTCAAAACTAATAACTGTCATTATTAATCTTTAATTAGAAAGTATATTTAAAAATTTAGTCCTTTCAAAGAAAATATGGATTCAACAACAAGTGTATGATACTACTTATTTTTAAAGCCTATTGCCTGTTTTTTTATCATAATTAAGGTGCACACCGAATGTCGCAAGCGCACTGATTCTAGGCTATATTACGTCATCGAAGAGTTTTAGTAAGGCACACTTTCTTGTAACTGCACATTAGGAACATGCCATATGATTATATGAAGTATTCGAAATTATCCGATTATTTTGGCCCAGATTAAATTCAAAAAATGTCATCAGACACATAACAGAGCTATTATCGTAAAATATAATATATAATAAATACATCAAATTGAGCATTGTAATAAAATCTGAATCAAATTTGTGACTACTCGATTTTGGCTTAATTATATATGAAGAAACGAAATTTGTGACTACTCGATTTTGGCTTGATTATATATGAAGAAACGAATTCTGATTTAAACTAGTAGATGTTGACTGTTTCATTTACGAACTGGAGGTGAAGTTTGCATTTATATAAGGATGCGATATGGTATGCTACACCCAGCTATTGGTACCTTGCCAGATATTGATTAGAGTCAAACCATGACCCTTTAAGAAAAAAATCGGTTCTTACAAAATCTTTTTTCGTGATATATTCCCTATATGGAACTTAAAACTTGTGTTCTTTTATGCTAACTTTATTTATTGATTGAGGTGTCTACTTACAAGAGAAAATTGAGAATTATTATTATTCAATCTAAAACAAGGATACCTTTATTAATAATATTGAGAGGTACATTTATGAACACATGAACAACAAGCAAGGACCCGCTGATTCGAACTATATAACATACCCGTAAATATCAACTATTTGGCTTGTAAGTCTGGTATGTGGATTGCCTTGACCGTGATATTACTGTTTTGACTGTCAGCAATACCAGCATAAGCGTTGTACCATGCTGCAAATGTAGTAAGAACTCCTAACAATCCACCCGCTGTGCGCAAAGACTCACCATCAGTCTTAAACTCGGCAATTGCCAATAGCAAGAACATACATGAAAGGAAGAAAAACATCGAGAAAAAGCCTACCGTGGACTTCAAGGTCATCAACATCATAAAGAACGTGAAGATGAACCACCCCACAAAGAATATACCCACCGCGTACCTAAACTCGGTGGGATCCTTGTACGCAGACGCAATTCCAAAACCATCCACGTACAAAGCAGCCCATCCGCCCAAAAAGCCGGCATAAGAACTCAATGCAACACCATCAAAGGTCTTTCCCAGTGCTATCTCGAACATCCCAGCAACCAAGTGCACAGCTCCCGCGTAGAAGAATGCAATACCGACAACAATGTTTGGACTCGTCACTCCTCTGGCACGGCAGTTTATCAACGAAAGCACAAATGTAGTGAGCGCTAATCCCGATAATCCTAATGATGCTGGATTGGCCAAGTTGTGCATTGGAGGAGGTGCCAAACCCGGATTTAACGTACCCCCAAACGCTTCCATCATCTCCTCTCGACGGTACTTCTCGTTCCCGATACATAGTCGACACAGCGGCGCGTACGATGGGAGGATGGAGGTGTGTAAGGTTTTTTTCTTTTTTTTTTTTTTTTTTTTTTTTTTTTTTTTTTTNCAATTTTCGGGAAATGCTGGGAATGCTACGGATAAAGTAGGCGATGCGTAGGCCGGATTTTCACGGTGTGGTACAAAATAATGTTTTTTTTTTTTCTTTTTTTTTTCTAGGGTGTTAGGGTGTTAGTGACTTGTAGCGGGTGTAGACTGGGGGGGCGGCGGCGGCGGGCTTGGCTCTAACATCATATTTGCTGGTGTTTGGCTGGCTTTGGTTATGGATTGACGAGTTCAGCGCTGGGTAGATCAAAAGGATTTAAAGGATTTTCCGCCTGTTGGTGCGGCCGGCCGGCCCGGCTGCAAGTTACCGTTTTGGGTGCGACTTGGGTGCGACTTGGGTGCGACTTGGGTAGCGACTTGGGTAGCGACCGCTTTAAATTATATGGATTATATGGATATACTCGTCAACTCATCCAGCTTCTGAGTATACCAATCCGGCTTCTGGGCCAGCACGACTGCGCGGCGGCGAGCCAGCCATCAATTATCTCGCACACTTTCAGTCCTCTTAAAGCAAGCCTGTTGCCCCAATTTTTATTTTTTTTTTTTTTGTTTTTCCAAAACGTGAACATCCATATGTCTGTTCTTGATAACTTCCCCTCGATGGAGGAGCTTTATGAACGGCACGGCCAGGAGCACGGCAGCGACAGGGTGGTGCCGGAACTGCGAGACGAATACGACATGCTGCCGGAGGTATACGAGGAAGCGTACGGTGCGCAGTTCAGCTACGACCTCCCGCTGATTATCTTCACAAAACCGCGTGCCGTGTCTGAACCCATCAACTACGACGTCAGTGAATACTACTTCAGCGCCGGGCTCGGGTTGGGCGTCCATAAAAGGATCGGGCTTGTGGTGGTGTTCCACCGAGACGNGCGGAAAAACTTTATCATCCCGTCGGTGCTATTTGAAAGGTACGCGCAGGCCGTTTTGTGCAAAATGACGCTGTTCCGAGAGGCCATACAGTTGCTGATAGCCAAGGACGAGCTCAGTCTGAAGCTCGTGCTAAGCTGCGAGATCGGCGAGCCGGGGCTAGAGCACACGCGCGGCATGCTTAGTGCGCGATGCATGCCNCTCCAGGCCGTGCCCATCCACTTTGGCTTTGGCTGCGACTGCGGCATCATCCGAAGAAAGTATGGTGAGTTAAGTCGCCACCCATGTATCCAAACGGATACGATCCGGGCGATGGCGTACCAGAAATTCCCGCAGAAGAAAGGCCGCATGGCCGCCAACTTTGAGGTGTATTGTCCCACGGACGACGGCTACGTAGAGGCTCGCGCCAGGGACGGGTCATCATCAAATAATAATAATAATAACAATAA